TGTGACAGCAAAACAAAATTCATCTACAAAAAACGCAAAGATGTCCATCCAATCCTGGCTGATGACCAGGATGTCTTTTGGTACATGGTGGCTGCTCGTGATATCAAGAGAGGCGTGGACATCACGTTTGACTACAATGTGACAGAATATGAAGTTGCAGAGCGATTTCGTTGCAACTGTGGGGCTGTAAAATGTCTCGGTGAGATAAAAGGCTTCAAGTTTTTGACGCCAGAGCAACAGAAGTTGAGGGAAAAGGAATTATCTCCTATTTTAAGTGAGCTTTGGCGTTAACTTTAAACTTAAAATTATTGATATTGTGAAGGAATCGCAAGTGACTATATTTCCTCTGTCTTCATTATTGCTTGTTTTTTGTGACCATCGCGCAGAATGCCTATTGATCTCGAGACATTCATTTCCACACTGTCTATCTGAAATGTTTTTTAGACGTTTCGTAGTCTGTAGAACTCTGATTGGTCAAAGAATACGCCCCTTTTTTTTTCCTCAGGGGTATATTGCTTCTGTCATTAGCATGACAAGGTGGGACTAACTAACAAAAAGGGCTTAGAAAGTCGTTGTTTATGATATTGTTATAAAAAATGACACATACGTCATTTTCAAGGTTAAGAGATATTCCTTATCAAACTTCTTTTTGATTTATTTGATCTCTGTCTTCATCCTCTGCTTCGAGGCATGGATATATATCAATCGTTCTTAAGGGAATACGCAGGACTCGTTTCTTTCATGCTAATGAGACGCATAATATTCTCGTGACCTGTTTAGTCTCGTGGTTCGGAAAAATACAACGCAACTAGCAAAATATGGGCCTAGCATATGGTAAGCCATCGAATAGGGTGTAGGTATTGTACTATTATTAAACAATGTGATATTGGGGGACAATATACCTCTTTCAGAATAAAGTAATAAATGTCTTACATGCCTGACTTTTATCTCAGGTAGAGTTTTCATAGATCTGGTGAGTCACCTCAATGACGAAAAAAAAGAAAGATCTATCACGTATATTTACAACAGATGGCGGTTGTGTAAAAACGGTGTTCCTTATTTTTTTTTTAAACGTTTCAATAATCGACTCTTCTTTTCCCACCCGTTTTCTACTAATCTTTCGTCAAAAACTGCAGGTCTTTCAAATTGAGTATACCCGTTTTCACAGAACAACGATTGACGTCGGAAATTCACATTTCTTTTGGGGTCCCAAATAGCGAAAAAGGTGTCTCACATGACAATTACAAACTTTTGTTTTGAAAGGGAATGGTTCAAAATCTTTCGGCCGAATAACGATAGCTCAGATGGGGTCAGTTTCCTGTAATCCTGTTCTTACGATATTCAAGAGGCCAAGGGAAAAGTCTCGTGGAAGATAAAATTGTATTTCAGTATTTTGTCTCCGAACCATGGCTCATTAATGTTTTGGGATTATGGTGTCGAGAGAGGCCAACAATAGACATTTACATACCAGACATCATAGAGTCGAAGGTATTAATGCTGTTATGATAGAGATATTTGGTCAAAATCCAGACAAATCTGTTCAAATCACTGAAATGGTGAAATCAGAAAAAAATTTGGAGACGTCGACAATGCGTTGAAGTGTGGACGGAACCCTGTTTTACACATGAATTTTAGAGAAATTCACGCGTCACGTATAAAAAGGGAAAACTTAAAATCCTTCAGATCAAGTTCAGGTAAATATTGTTTCAGAACTTTACGTTCGCCATTCTGTAAAATC